TTGACCCGCAAATGTTGTTCCTACCTTTTTCCGTTTTGTGTGGTATTTGCAGGACTTTTGCAGGGTGCCAAGGGGATCCCGGCAAATTTTGACCCGCAAATGTTGTTCCTACCCTTTTCCGTTTTGTGTGGTATTTGCAGGACTTTTGCAGGGTGCCAAGGGGATCCCGGCAAATTTTGACCCGCAAATGTTGTTCCTACCCTTTTCCGTTTTGTGTGGTATTTGCAGGACTTTTGCAGGGTGCCAAGGGGATCCCGGCAAATTTTGACCCGCAAATGTTGTTCCTACCCTTTTCCGTTTTGTGTGGTATTTGCAGGACTTTTGCAGGGTGCCAAGGGGATCCCGGCAAATTTTGACCCGCAAATGTTGTTCCTACCCTTTTCCGTTTTGTGTGGTATTTGCAGGACTTTTGCAGGGTGCCAAGGGGATCCCGGTCTCCTGTCTTCATTTCTCCTCCATGATTTTCATTGCTTTTCCCATGAAAATTGCTTCCTTTTGATCTCTCCTCTCTCCTTTCTCTCTCCCTTCTCTTCTCTTGTTCTCTTTTGAATCTCAAAATCACACCAAAGGAAGCTTCTTTTCCTTATTGAATGAAAAAGAAAAACAAGAAAAGAGATAGGTAAAGACACTGAAGAGCTCCACTGCCTATTGTTTCATTCCCTTTCCTCTCTTTCTATGTGTTGTTTCCTTGTCGTTTCAGAAAGCTAGCAAAATAAGGGCAAGGGGGCTTCCTGAAGAGGAGAGAGGGCACCTATTTTTTAATTGTAGAGGGGAAAGCGAGAGACAAGGAAGGGAGAGATGATAGATAAAGAAGAGTGCTATCCGTCTCCTTGTTTCTTGTGTCTTCTCTTCTTTTCAGTTCATCATATTCCTCTTTTCGGCCTGTCTCTTCTGCTCTTTTCCTTACCCTTCTCCTTTTCAAGTTCTTCCTTTTTAGTTTTTCTGTTTCGAAAAGAAAGAGGGAAGGGAGAGAGAAGGGCGAGAGGATAGATAAAGAAGAGTGCCATCTTCTTTGCGCCTTGTTTTGTCTCTCCATCTTCTTTGTTCATCTCTCTTCTATTCTTTTCTTGGCTCTTCCCATTAGAATTGTGTTCCTTTTATCTCTGCTCTCTCCTTCTCTTTCCCTTGTCTTCTCCTGTTCCCCTTTAAATGACAAAAACACAAGAAAGGAAGAAGAGGGGAATGGAGGCCCTTTTCCTGTATTCTCCTGTTGCAATGAATAAGGAAAAGAGCATAGGAGATAAGGAAGGGAATTGAAAAGAAAATGGGCGATCGGGTGTCCTTTTTGCTAGTTTTCTGCATCTTCAAGGAAGAAAAAAGGACACCCGCCCAAGAAGGAAAAGTAACTTAAGAGATAGGGAGGAAATTGAAGAGCTCCTCTCTTTACCTAGTCATTCCCTGTCCTCTCTTCTTATCTGTTGTTTGTCTTATTCGCTTCAAAAAGCAAAATAAGGGAAAGGCGATTTCCTGAAGAGGAAGAAGGGCGCCTACCTGTGAATAGCAAGATTGATTTTTTCTAATTAGGGAGAGACTTGCCCCGCCTGAGCCTCCCTGGCCTGCTTGTTGTGGCCACATACAGTTGCGCTTCCAGCAAAATGGCATCCTTGTTATCTCGTCTCACTTCTCTTTCCCTTCTCTCCTTCTGTTTCCTTTTGACTGATAAACCACAAGAAAGGAACTTGTGTGATAAGGCAGTGGAAGGGTAAGCAGAGGGTGACTCCTGGCGCGTGGACCGGTCCATACTTCATCATACCCCTCCTCTCGGCCTATCTCTTCTGTTCCTTTCCTTACCCTTCTCCTTCTCATAGTTCTTCCTTTTTGTTTTCTTATTTCGAAAAGAAAGAGGGAAGGGAGAGAGAAGGGAGAGAGGATAGATAAAGAAGAGTGCCATCTTCTCTGCGCCTTGTTTTGTCTCTCCCACTTCTCTATTCATCTCTCTTCTATTCTTTTCTTTGCTCTTCCCATTAACAATGCAATCCTTTTGTCTCTCCTCTCTCCTTCTCTCTCCCTTCTCTTCTCCTGTTCCCCTTTAAATGACAAAAGCGCAAGAAAGGAAGAACAAGAGGGGAATGGAGGCCATGTTCCTTTCTTTTCCAATGGATGGGGAAAGCGAGCGGGGTTGGCTCCTTGTCCGTAGACCCTCCCCATGCTGCAGCAAATCCCTCCTCTCGCCCTATCGCCTCTGTTCTTTTCCTTGTTCCCAAACGGAAAAAGAAAACGGGTTCCTTTACATGTTCATTGTTCTTCCTTTTGTTTTTATTTGAAAGGGAAAGATAAGAAAGAGAGGAAAGAAGAAAACGAGCACCATCTTCTCTTTGCCTGATTTTGCACCTCCCTCTCCTGTCTTCATTTCTCTTCCATGATTTTCATTGCTCTTCCCATGAAAATTGCTTCCTTTTGATCTCTCCTCTCTCCTTTCTCTCTCCCTTCTCTTCTCTTGTTCTCTTTTGAATCTCAAAATCACACCAAAGGAAGCTTCTTTTCCTTATTGAATGAAGAAGAAAAAGAAGAAAAGAGATAGGTAAAGACACTGAAGAGCTCCACTGCCTATTGTTTCATTCCCTTTCCTCTCTTTCTATGTGTTGTCTTCCTTGTCGTTTCAGAAAGCTAGCAAAATAAGGGCAAGGGGGCTTCCTGAAGAGGAGAGGGCACCTATTTGTTTTAATTATAGAGGGAAAAGCGAGAGACAAGGAAGGGAGAGATGATAGATAAAGAAGAGTGCTATCCGTCTCCTTGTTTCTTGTGTCTTCTCTTCTTTTCAGTACCCCTCCAGAAAATTCAAATGGCCTCCTTGTTGTCTCTCCTCTCTCACTTCCCTTGCCCTTCTCTCCTTCTGTTACATTTTAACTAATAAAACACAAGAAAGGAACTTGTATGATAAAGCAGTGGAAGGGTAAGCAGAGGGTGACTCCTTGCGCGTGGACCTTGCCCATATCTCTTTCCCTTCTCTTCTCCTGTTCCCCTTTAAATGACAAAAACACAAGAAAGGAAGAACAAGAGGGGAATGGAGGCCCTTTTCCTGTATTCTCCTGTAAAGAAAAGAGGATAGGAGATAAGGAAGGGAATTGAGGAGCTCCTTTCGCTACTTTCTTATGCCCTTTCCTTTGTATCTACCACACAAAAACACGACTCTCAGCTTCCAAATAAACCCTATTTAAGCCACCCACGGGGGGGGGGGGGGGGGGGGGGCGACTTAGTTATATAGGGACTACATAGTGTGTATGTATATATATGTATATGGGTTAGATAATGTATGATATATATATATATATGTATAAGTTTAAGGGTCCCTTCTAGGGGTCCCTCCTTATACCCCTTCTTTAAACGCACCCATAACCTTTACAAACGCCTAAGGTCGTGGCTCAACTCTTCCCAGCGCAGTGCCACCGGCCTGGAGTTTCTTGGTGGTTCTTGCTCAACTGATGCTGCGCCACCATGAATTCTGAACTCGCATGTCCCTGTCCTCCACATCGAAAAAAACGTGCGGATTGCCAGCGGCGTGGGCCACGTGCCCGAGTGCTACCACGGGGCCCAGGGGCAACGCTTTCGTCCTGCATCAGGAAACCCTTTGAGGAGTGCAAGCATGTGCAAACAGTCTGCCTTACAGCCATGCTCCTGCAATTCCTCTTCGCCTCTCTCTTCTTCTGCTGCGCTTGCAGGTCAGGCTGACACCCTTCCCTTGAGGCCGTCCGACTGAAAGCAACGCGTACCGGCAAGCCCTTGGAGCGCCCTCCCCCAGCCTCCAAAGAACACCGGAACCCAACTTTACGGACCCAAAACTTCCCGTGTTCTTGACTTCACACACCCCACAGCTCTTTGCTGGTTACACTAGTGGCTGAGCTTGAGCTCTTCATGTAGTGTTCCTTCTTTCCTTTCTTCCCTCCCTCCCTCCCTTCCTTCAGCACTCAATGGCCCCGCCAGGCGAAGACCGCCCGAGAGCGGGTGTCCACCGAATTAGTGGGCGAGACTCCTCCCCGCCCCCTCGGATTCCTAGGATTGTCGGGAAGCCAAACCAGACTAACCAGACCCTTACATCGGTCAACCAGACCCAGGTAGTTCTCCTGTGGCCCTCTCTGTGCGCGAGGGTGAAGCTCAATGGCTGGGGAGTTGATATCACGATAAACAGCTCTATTCACAATACGCAGTGAACAAGAACCTTTCTCACAGGCTCCGAGAGTGCACGAGCTTATGGGGCGGTTCATTTCAGTCCCCGCTCGTTTCGGCTCGCGGTCGAAGTCCGGGCTGCGGAAAGGGTGGGACCAAGGTTGCTAGCAGTGATGTCGGCTGCCGTCGCCTGCTTTCCCACTTGTTTCGTCATCTTTGCTTCTCTTTCTCTTTTCTTTCTTTCTCTCTCTCTGTCTCTCTCTCCCCTCTCTCTGTATCTCTTTTTCTTTACATCACGACTGAAGATGTTGCCAAATTGTTCGGTGTTCCAGACCCCAACTCTGTCTGGCTTGGAATGCTGGTAACTTGCAACCTTCATAAACAGTTCTGATATCACGGTTTCTGGTTTGCCCGCAAACCGGCAGCGGTTGTGATACCGCGTGCGTCGTCCTGCCCCAGGTTTGGCATCGGCCCGGCTGACTCCCAGCTCGATGTGCTGACTGATGGGTGGACTTGAGCTCGGGGAAGCTTCGCCGGTGATGGGAGGGCTGACGTCTGCCGCGCCTACATTGGAGTTCCTGCTCTTCCATGCGCCCTTTCAGGTCATGTAAAAGTATGGCAGCGTCCCACGGCTTCGGAGGAACGATCGGCGCAGTTGCGGGTTGGTTTGTGTTTGCTGGATCAGCTCTCCCTCATACTCCGCTTACGTGGGCAGGTAAACATGCGTGGACAGGCGGAAACAGCGTGCCAGTCAGCTGGCTAAGCTGCTAAAGGCACCAAGCTACCCCTCTCGCAATCGCAATCTCAACCCTAAACCCTAAGCCCTAAACCCTAAACCCTAAACCCTAAACCCTAATCCCGTTCAGCATGTACCCTGAACCATCTCCCTGTGCGTCCCTGTCAGCCACACGGCCAGAAAGCCCAGAAGGCCAACCGCCAGCAGCACCCCCAACGCCATCATGCCGCCGAAGTTCCCACCTCGGAAAGGCAAGCCACCAACATCTCCACGACCGCAACAACACCACCAGCACAACCACCACAACCACAACCAACCACAACCACAACATCAAGCACAAACAAGCACAACAACCACCACAACCACAACAACAACGACAACGAGATGGCATGATAAAGAAGGTGGTCGTGCTCGTGAAGCCCCGCGACTTGCACCACTCTGGAGATATTGAGTGCGGGACTACTTTCTGCATTGACCTGCCCATTCTGGCAGAGGCTGCGGTCGGCAAAGCTAACTGGGCGACTACATACAGGGGATCCTGAGTTGCAATGCTTCGGCCACACCCTGTGAAAAAGCCGCACTGCTCAGGGACTCAGCGTACTTATGCAGGGCGGGTACAGGGCACTCAGAGGGTCGGCCCATGCCTCCAGTAGCTCCAGCTCGAAAACCAGAACGGCACCTGGAGGAATTGGCCCAGCACCTCCGCAAGCCGAGTCAAGTGGAGTCTCTCATATAACAACTATATCCGTGTATTAGTATATTCTTACATTATAGTTTACATGTATATATTGTTGTCAAGTATGTCTTTATATGATTGTTATGAACTTCTTAATATATTATTCAAAAAACATTTTCCTATTTACTATATCATTTATCATTATTCTGTTCCCATTTAGGCTGACCCTGACCAGCGATCTCCCCAAGGCCGCAACAAGGCCGCAACCCAGGATACACACAAGCTTCTCAAGGAGCGCTTTTGGGCCGACCTCGATCACCGTAGGCGAGGTGGCTGGGCAAGATGATCTCCCACCTAGCACGAGGAGAAGAAAGAAGACGGAGGATGAGAAATGTACTGAGCTAGACTTGTCTCTCCATCAGCCTTCGGCCCCAGAGGCAAAACAAGGCAGCCATGCCACATAAGCTGTAAACGCATCACAACACTTGAAACGAGGCTGCGTCACAGCACTTGGAGCAAGACCCTGCGGGCTTTGCAGCAGCAGAGCATTTGGGCTTCTTGTAGCTGATAGAGCTCGTTTTTGAGCATGATGAGTCTGCCGAGGCACTTCTCACCGGCACGCATCAACTGCAGGGCTTCCGCCCAGCCCGGGACCACTTGAGACGGCCTTTGCGTTGCACACCCTGCATGAAGTCATGAAACACAGCTCTCGCATGGTGATGTTGCGAAAGCCACCGCGTTGTTCATGGCCACTGGCGTCAGCTTGGAGTTCGCTGATCTTATGTATCTCACCACAGTCACAGGCGCTTCGGGCCTGAAGATGATAGGATCTCCTCGGCGGTACCTAGAAGAATTCACTGCATGCACACTCTGCTTGGTTTTGGCACGCTTTCTCCCTCAAGCCCAAGGCAGCTGGGTCCTACAGCGCTCACGAGGAGTCGAATTCCGTTCCATCGACGAGGGTGCCCTTGTAGTGACACCTACAAGCAGGAAGAATGGGGGGGGAGACCGTTGCAAGGGGGCAACCTGGAAAACCAAAAACATCACTGCCTACAAAGCATCACTGGATCTTTGTCAAACCATGAAAGCTTCGGATGCCGAGACGTATCTGCACCCCAAACCTAAACCCTAAACCCTGAATCCCTAAACCCTAAACCCTAAACCCTAAACCCTAAATCCAGCAAAAACACCAAGTCTTGGACAACGGTCTCAACGGGAGCCGCCTCCTTACAATCTAGTAAACAGCCACAGCCAAGCCTATTAATAAAAAAAATATGTTTAATATCCTCTTGGGTTTAATTTAAACAAAAAAATGTTTCCCAAGGGGGATATAGCAATGGCGCAAGACCTTCAATCACTCAGCCCTCAGCCCTAGAAGCCCCTTGGACACAAGTGGTGGTCTACGAAATTACGGGGACCCCGAATAGAGTCCCCCCAAATAGCAGGATTCCCTTACTCTAAGGGACCCCGATGAGGAACCCCCCTGATTTCGGAAACCACCCAATTTTCCCAAACACCCATCCGGGGGCCTGCAAGGGCTGTTGGGCCCGGGCCTGGCCCAATGGTTTTAAGGTTTAGGGTTTGGGGTTTAGGGTTTGTGTGGACCTAGAAACTAGGGGCTCGGGGCTTCTGGGCTTGAGGTTTGGGTCTTTTTTCAGATTCTTTCATGATTGGCTAATGATAGCGTCTGCTGCTCTGGAGTTTCACATACATGGCTTCACTGCGTGTTGCATCTTTGACGTGGGGCTGCTGCTAGTCCTTCCGAGCTGTGCTCAGGGTAGAATCACTTACAGGCAGCTCCACCGTGTGCGCGGACAGCCCCGGAACGCCCTACAAGTACAGTTGACCCTCACTCCCCATATCCTTGCAGCGCCTCTCCCCAGATGGATTGCTTTTGATCACCTGGCACACAAGCAGGCAGGCTGCAAGAGTCACCTGGAGCGCGGTTGTAGTGTGTCAAGGCTCCGTCCGTCCTTCTCGCGCAATTTCCCGAACAGGCTCTGCTTACGTTCAGAGGCACAGTAAGGCCTTGCTTCGGACTCTGATCACAGAGCCGTCGCCCGAGATTTAGGGCGCCAAGCTCGCATCTACTGCTGCTGCACCGTCGGCGATTCTCAAGCTCAAAGCCCTGACAAGACGAACCTCTGCACGATGATGATGATGATGATGATGATGATCATGATCATGATCATGATCATGATAATAATGATGATAATAAATGATGATGATGATGATGATGATGATGATGATGATGATGATGGTTGCGGTGCTGGATGGCTTTGGGCCTTCCTACTTCCAGGGTCTTGGGCGGCTTCGGACACATCAACGGCGCCAAACATGCGCTCCGGGCACACGATGCTGAGGGGGGTGTCGGAAACCAGGGGTACCTTACTGGGGTCCTGAAGAAGGAGATCCTACTGCTTGGGGGACTATATTGCAGGTCCCTTGTTTTCGCCAACCCCCATATACACGCACGGTCAGGTTTCACAGCAGGACATGTGATCTGTTTGCGCATCTGCATCTGCAAAGGTCCGTCCTTGTACCGCAGCCCGGACTCCCTTTCTTGGAAGCCATGCCTCGACATCCATCCGGAAGTCTGGGTTTAGGGTTTAGGGCTTAGTGTTCAGGGTTTCGAGTTTCGGGTGTTTCACCTGCCTACCATAATTCATACCATAATTCATACCATAATTCAGAGGTCGCAAAGGCGTGCCTCTTGACTGAGTCGTCCAGGAACTCCTCCGGCTTGCCCCGGAAGCGCAATGCCTTTGCGCTGGCACAAACCCCGAAGCCTGGAGCACCTTTCGAGGCCACACACACATACATGTAATAAAATATAAGTATCATATAATATAATATCATATAATCGAATATGATATCATTATGTATCATAGTAGAATACAATATAGTTTACTATAGAAGCATATAGTATAGTTCTATATACTAGAACTTATCTAGATCGAGCCCGGTAAACCAGTATCATGTTGAAAGTGTTCGGGTAGGAGCGTGCGAGTGAACGAGTGGACACGTACGAGTGCGAGTGCAACATACGAGTGGACCAGTGGAAATGTACGAGTGAATGAGTGGAAACGTGCGAGTGAACGAGTGGAAACGTACGAGCGGAGGAGGGGAAATCTGCCAGTGCACGAGTGGAAACGTACGAGTGGACGAGTGGATGATGTACGAGCACTCGTGCGCTTCCACTCGTCCACTCGTACGTTTCCACTCGTTCACTGGTACGCTTCCACTCGTCCACTCGTACGTTTCCACTCGTTCACTGGTACGTTTCCACTGGTACAGAAATAAGGCAGGATGGGAGCCCGTATAAGCCTTATTCGGGCTCCCATCCTGCCTTATTTCTGCGCGGGTGGAAAACGTACGAGCGATGAGCAAGAGCACGCCATGGCTGGATGAACAACCTTTGATTTGGTATAAGGGTCCGAGAACGACTTGTCGCCTTTCCTGAACCCGGGCGACTTGATAATTATTAGGGGTTCAGGGTTTAGGGTTTGGGTTTAGGGTTTAGGGTTTGGGGTTTAGGGTTTGGGGTTTAGGGTTTGGGGTTTAGGGTTTAGGGTTTAGGGTTTAGGGTTTAGGGTTTAGGGTTTAGGGTTTGGGGTTCTATCACACGAAATTTCCAAGTCCTAGAGGAGCAGGCCAGTGTGAGGCAGCGGCGCTTGCGCCCTCTTCCGTGGCCATGGCCAGGTCGGAGTCTGCTTCTTCCCGCGAGCAAGCGCAGAACAGTGTGTGGTAACTAGTGTTTCTGCAGTGTTTTTTCTCGTGCTTCAGGTCGTGATTTTGCAGTGTCCTTTGTATCGTTCCAACGGCCGAGGCCATGCCGCACTGCATGAGATGCAGCTGCACTTTGCAGCGCATGGTTGCCACGTGTTGCACTCTACAGCTTGACTTTGCAAGGAGCCTTGGCATGGTAGCATCAGGATATATGGGGGGTGTACGATACTCGGGGGAACCTCATTGGGATCCTTATAATATGGGGATCCTACAATTTGAGGACTATCGTAGGGGGTCCCTTATGTTGGTAACAGCCCATCAGTCTCTGAGCAGTTGGCCTGCAAGGCCCTGTGCACATGATCACATCAACTGGAAGCTTCCTGGCGGGTTCACTCACTTCAGCTATGGCTTCTTTTCTGTCCGGCGCGGACAGCGAGAAGGGAAACACAACAGAAACACAACAGGGCTAAGCTTGAACGCGCTGTCCCTGCATCCGTACACTGCTGGCGAGGCCAGGCCACACACTGTGCACTTTGCACTCTTTGCAAAGCAAAACTACCACTTCAGCTTTTCCAAGCCGTGTGAAGAGTAGGACCTGCACTGCTGGCCATGCAAGAGTGTGCAATTTCAAAGGCTGCATATCAATAAACGGAGTCCATACTAGCACCGGTTCATGGCTTTTCCCTGCTTGTTGATCCTAAACCCTAAACCCTACAGTAAACCCTACACCGGCTGCATCCGAAGCCCCAATGAAGCCCCGGGAGGGGGGTACCCAAATTTTGCACTTGGAGATTAGGAAAGTGGGCGGTCAGGGGGGTCCCCAAATTTTGCACTTTGAGATTGGGAAAGTGGGCGGACAAGGTGGTCAAAACCACACCGAAAACCCCCATGTACGCCCCCCATCCCCCCTATATACCCCCCCATCTTGCGCGCCGACTTCCCCCGGGCCATTTGAGAAATGTGTTTTTCTGTGTAGTTTTGACCACCTGCATCAGCTTTGCAAGGACTACACGTTTTCGCCTTTGAATCCTGTCTGAACCGAAACCCCAGAAAGCTTGACAGTCTTCTTTTATTCTCCTTGCACGACCTGTGATTTAGCCATTTAAGCCCTTTCGGCGCTCTCGAGTCCTGTGGACACTGCGACTCTAAGGTGCAATCTGCCTCTCTGAAGCTGGTTTGGGACTTTAGAAGGTTTATGGCCACAGGTTTGCATCTCTGAACCCTTAGTCCCAGCTCCCTGTCACCCCAAACCGCAGACCAATGCGAAAAAGGGAGTCCAAAAACCCTCGGATCTTCAGCTGCGCGCGCCTCCACACCACTCCACCAAGAATGCCACCCATGACAAGTGCCAGCACAAGCACCGCTTGAAGCCTCCAATTCCCAATAGCTTGCGGCTTACGCTTTTTTTGGGGCACCGGTGCAGGCTCAACGACAGCTGCAGTGGAGGATGCACCATGTCTGTGCGGGGCTTGACACAAGTAGATACCGGGATATTTTCATTCTGTTTGCTGGTGCTTGCTTGCCCTGAGCGCGGGGTGCAGCGTGTCGGCCTGCATTTCTGGAGGCATGCAACAAGCCAGCACAAAACACTGCCTTGCTCAAAGCCAATTTTTCCAGCAACACGCAACATGCAGCATGCTTGCTTGTAACTGCGCTTCCCCTGAAAATGGGGGTTTCCGAACTTAGGGGTACCTTATTGGGGTCCTTATTATTAGGGACTCCTACTATTTGGGGGTCTATTTTTTGGGTCCCCTATTTTCGTCAACCCCCAAACGTCCTTGGCTCCACACCTCAACTGCGACAGTGACAGTGCTTCGTCTTCCACCCGCTGGGCGGGCAAGACACCTCGGCGACATGGGGGTTCAAGATGTTAAGGTGAACCTTATTGGGGTGCTTGTGATTAAGGAATCCTACCATTTAGGGGTTCCCCATTTTCGTCAACCCCCTTTTCACAAACCCGCCTCTCATCGACCCTCGAACCCGTACTCTCGCATTGGAAACGGACGACTGTTCGAGGTTTGGAGATCGGAAACCCTAAGCCCTAAACCCTAAACCCTAAATTGCTAAACCCTAAACCCTAAACCCTAAACTCGTTTTGCAGCCCCGTGAGCATGGAAGGCCTGGAGCGATCTACGGGGTCTGGGAGCTGGAAATCGATGCACCCCAAACCCAAAACCCTAAACCCTAAACCCTAACCCCTAACCCCTTAACCCAAACCCCTAAACCCTAAACCCAAACCCTAAACCCATAGGGATGGAGCCATGGGGCTCAGAACGAAAGATCGGGAAAGAAGCGTCTTCTGGCAGAGCAGGCTCTGCGCATTGGAACCAAAGGCTCTGTTGGTCGTTCTACGGCTTTCGTGACAAGGAGAGATTGAAAACCCCGGGAGAAAAGCCGAAATATTTGGAACTGCTCTCCTGCAAACCCGCCTCTTACAATCCCTGGACCAAAGCTTGTGCCGCGACTTCGTCCGTGGCTGAGCTGACGGCATGCGATCAACGTCAGCAGCATCAGCAGCGGCCTCAAGAGATGCAGCGTAAAGCCATGTAACAGTGCTTAGTAGGGATGATAATGGGGGGAGTGTGTTATAACCCCTATTAAAGACTGATGGTATAAGGGGAGTTCCAAGATGACTGCGCACTTGCAGCTGGGTCCCCAGCCAGTATGCAAAGCAAACGACAGGAAACAGCATGCCCCCGACGCACTTGAAGTCTCTGGCTGCCTGTGCAGGACTGGGAGGAACACACACACACACACACACACACACAAAGGAACAATGCAGGGAATGCAAGGTCCCAGGGGTGATGTCAAGTGTGGGCGGCGAGTAGTGAATGTACCTTACCCTCACGCTTCCAAGAACCGCGCGTGCCCGGCCCAGCGCCTCGTAGAGAAGGAGCAGCATGTCACTGCGGAAAGCTTGGGCCAGATGCCCCTGCAGGGTTCCGCGCTTTCACATCGTTTGAAGGCTGAAAGCTTGACAAGGTGATAAGACACCTGTGAGACTCTAGAGACTGAAAGCTTGTAGGTTGTTCAAGGCTTTGGCTTGCAGAATTTTTTGGGCTGGGCACCCGACTCGTGATTCACCTGAGCCCTGTATTCATTTTCTCGCGGAGAGCCTGCTGCAGCCATTGCACCAGTTGTCGCGGCCTTGGTCTCAGGCTGCACTACCAGTACAGCACAGTACCAAAACCGACTGCAGCACGGACTTCCGAACGTTTCAAACTTCGTACTGCATCGTACTCCCATGTTGGCAGTTGATCATCTGTGGTACCCTCAGTGCGGCGCAGATACTTCTGAGCTTCTCGGGGCACTGCAGGTACGAGAGTCCTTGAACATTGAGGCATCTCAACTTAACTTCTTGCAACCAGCAAGACCGCAGCTCAAAGACAACAATCCCTAAACCCTGAACCTTAATCCCTAAACCTGAACCCTAAACCCTAAACCGTAAACCCTAAAGTTGCATGGCCATGCAAGGAGAGCCGTGGGCTCCAGTCAACATCATAAGCACGAAGATTCAATTTCAACAAACTGGCCGCCAGCACCTCTCGTAGAAGTGCAGCATGTTGTCCTAAGAGAACAACGTGTGCATGCTTAACGTCATTGAACGTCTCTCATCACATTATCGCATCTAGCCGTGTGTAGTCATTGGTTGGGGCTTTTGAGACACTTTCACATCATCAGAAAACCTGAGAATGTGGCCCCAGCCAGGCTTGGCACATCCCCAAGCGCAGCGGCACGCCTTCATCGCGCACATGGAAGTCGTGTGTTTCCAAAGCGCGCGAACATGAGTGTGGAAGACCCATTGTACGGCTGCGCACGGGACTGAGTGGGTGCAAGGATCCATCAGAACGGACCCCGGAACCAGCCAGCAAAGCCTTCGTGGGAAAAGGCAACAACCATCATTCAGGCAGTGGCAATCTGGGTGGCGCAGCCAGCAAGAATGCATTGCCTCGCCAGAGAATGGGAGATGGGTTGCAAGACTGAGCAATGTGAAACCAGATACCGTTGAAGTTGAGCACAGTCCGTATCGCATTTGTCATGGAGCATGCCCTATTACCGTAAGAGGCTGGCAAAGCATAACATATTAAGCTGGACACTACCTTCCTCAAGGCAAGACTGCCGCACGGCAATCTGGTTCAACGGATGAGCATCATGGGACCTTCCCAATCATCCATAAGAATATCCTCCTAAACCCCAAACCCTAAACCCTAAACCCTAAACCCCTAAACCCTAAACGAGTCATCCATAAGGCTGCCTGCCAGGAAGGCCAGGATAAGAATGGACCGAAGTGGTCTTCTTCGCAAGTTCACTGGCCTCGGAAGCGGCCACGATTTGTGGGCGAGCTTCAACTATTGTATGTACGGTTTAGGGTTTAGGGTTTAGGGTTTAGGGTTTAGGGTTTAGGGTTTAGGGTTTAGGGTTTAGGGTTTAGGGTTTAGGGTTTAGGGTTTTGTTTGTACGTGTGTATGTACGTATGTATGTATGTTATGCATGCACGCATGCATTTGGCTGCAATCAATGGCTTACGCTGATTCTCGCAGCTGGGTGCAGGCTCATTTGTTGATTCTAGTGGATTCTCCAAGTCCACTCGGGTACGGCCACTCCCCCGCGAAGTGATGGTGGCACTCCGATCTGTGCCGTGGGTCCGGAACTGCGGCATCCAAGCGCAGCATGGCAAGTGCAAAAGAGCAAATGCCCCAAAACTGCAGAATGATCCGAGAGGCAAGACGTGCCGACGCGAACGTAACAGTGCAGGTCCAAACGCCGGGGTGCCCCGCCGTACCAGCACCAGCGCTGGTACCTACTCGGGTTTGAGGTCAGCTGGGAACCATTTTGCAGTGGCCATGTTGCTGAAAGCCCGAGGAATTGAAGCAACTTCAAGTCAAACCAGTAAACAATTGTGAAGTTCCAATGCAAGCTTCGAATTAATTCGCGGCTGCCATTGCCATCAGAGGTTCCATAGCATGCTCCCCCCCCGTTTTCCCGCCTTTTCTAGTCAAGGGTCCAAGGTGCTGGGACTTGATTCCTAAGAACCCCACCGGACCCTCGAAAGAATTTCTCTCGGGACGCCCGACGACCCCCCAGAACCCCTATAACGATGTCCCAAAAAAAATACTGTTGGTCAAGACACAAGAAACTTCAAACGGACAAAAGCTCTCAACTCTCCAATTCCTAAATGAACCGAAATTTGGCCTGAAGGAGTTTGCCCTAGCCCCTAAACCCTAAACCCTAAACCCTAAACGCAACCGGGCGTTCCAGATTCTCGGGAGCCCGGGCGAGGCGGTCGACGCGCAGCGGTTTACCATGAAAAGCAACAAGGGCAGGAACGCACTCCACGCACAAAAACGGCATAAACAACTGGTGAGTTCTGTCAATTAGGAGTCCTGTTCACCCTAAACCCTAAACCCTAAACCCTAAACCCTAAACCCTAAACCCTAAACCCTAAACCCTAAACGCTAAACCCTAAACCCTGGATACTAAGAGCCGCTTGAGAATGGTAGGTTTCTCCCCAAAAAAAGGACCCTAACTTTAGAGAATCTAACAAACCGTGCCGGCCGCACACTGACAAGTATGTGACTAATAATAACAAGAATAAGAATAAGAATAAGAATAAGAATAAGAATAAGAGTAAGAGTAAGAATAAGAATAAGAATAAGAGTAAGAGTAAGAGTAAGAGTAAGAGTAAGAATAAGAATAAGAACAAGAACGGTCCGACAATTAGGATTCTAGCAGTAATTAGGATTGTTTCGGTATCCTACCAGACAACTGCAAACATGCCGGCCGCACGCAGACAATGGTCAGTGGCATGGCTAAGGCCCAGGAGTAGATGGTCACCGGGGCAAGGACAGCCAGGAGCCTGGCATGGTCAGCAGCCCCCCACCTCCCCCCCGCCATTTTTGGGGGGTTTCGGGTTTAGGGTTGAGGGTTTGGGGTTTGGGGTTTGGGGTTTGGGGTTTGGGGTTTGGGGTTTGGGGTTTGGGGTTTGGGGATTCCGAAATTTTAGGGGGTACCTTATTGGGGTTCTTGGATCCTACTATTTGGGGGTCTCTTCCTTCGGCACAAGCTCGCAAACCCAAACACACAGAAATGCAAAGTCGACCATGGAAAAGGTTAGCTAGCGACTGACTGAACCATCGGCATGCTCCCGGATTTTACTTTCCGATGAGCCAAATCGAATGCCCTAGACACGTTTGTTGATTTCACACAGTAGGTTGCAGATGTCAAGTTTTCCTCGCGGGAAAATTCTGAGCAACAATAAAAAAGCTCGCGGCTATCGGTGCAACACGACACAACGTGTCACACTTGTTGGCGGCATTGATGTGGTACATGCTCACGCACGGCTCATAGCACAGAGGTTGCTTGGAGCTGGGAGCTAGGTACATGCACGAACGGAAAACTTCAAGGGAATGAAAATAGATTTGTGGGGAAGGATGTGAGTTGAGATGAGTTGCATCAACAAGACCTGCTACAGTGCGGGTGCGTTTGCACAGAGCTTGGGGTGAAGGGGCATCGTTGTTGGCGAGGACCCCCAACATGGCCCGACCCCACCACACACTACATCACATGATCGCGTGCCAGTCGTCGCTGTACAGCGATTTCAGAGACACACAGGACAGTTGCCCCTGCAAAAAAGAGCAACGAGCTCAGAAAGCATGCGCATGTGGGTTCATAAGTCGCCGCAGTCCCAATTGGTCGGGGCGTGGTCAGCACAACCAATTTGGAATCTGCATCGAAAAACATCTCGCAGAACCGGTTGTTTGCTATCAAAGCTGTCACACATACACAGCGAGACGCAGACAGACAGAGAGACAGAGACAGCGACAGACAGAGGGACCGACAGAGACCCGGGCGATTGCACAACGAAAACACAGTGGGAGCCCACCTAACAAAAGACCGGGAATGTCGGTGCTGCGAACGATCTTCCGGAAAACCTGCATCACCTCCAAATCTCTGTACGGCAGTTTGCAAACCCTTCTGCAAAGCCCTAAACCCTAACCCTAAACCCCAAACCCTAAACCCTAAACCCTAAACCCTAAACCCTAAACCCTAAACCCTAAACCCTAAACCCTAAACCCTAAACCCTAAACCCTAAAAATGCAAAGCAAGCAGGGTTCACGCGAAGCCCGAGGCTGCTCGCACCTGGGCAGCGAGGGTGTTCCCCACTTGAGGCACATGTGGGGGTTTACGAAAATCAGGGACCCTTAATATAGGGTTTAGGGTTTAGGGTTTAGGGTTTAGGGTTTAGGGTTTAGGGTTTAGGGTTTAGGGTTTAGGGTTTAGGGACCCCCAAATAGTAGGGTTCCTGTCTAATCAGGACCCCAGGAAGGTACCCCCATTGTCGTAAAGTCCCCTTGCAACCCCTCAACCTTTTCAGGAAACCTTCCTCAGCAAATCCGCCAGGCCCCAAAACCCTAAACCCTAAACCCTAAACCCTAAACCCTAAACCCTAAACCCTAAACCCTAAACCCTAAACCGGAGCCCAGCGCCACCGACACAGCTACGGCCCCAGCCGACTCCCAGAGTGGGCAAGGAAGCCGAACACCCTGGGACTTCGGAGCTTCTCCTGGTGATCCGTGCAGTTTAAGGGTTTAGGGTTTAGGGTTTAGGGTTTAGGGGTTAGGGGTTAGGGGATTGTGGAGGCCAGACAAAACCCTGAGATGCAAGGGGGGTACGTATGGCAGTTGGCCTTACATAGGTAGCGTCTTCTCCCACCGGATGCTACTAACAACTCTACCAGCAAGTATCGCTGTTGGCATCAGGATGCGATCAGGTCCAAACCTCACCTTCATGAGCTCAAAGAATCCACTACCTCTAGTCGTTGAGTTCGAAGGACCGGAGAGGAGGGAGGAACAAGTCACAGCACAGGCAAGTTAGGGAAGGAAGGGAAAGCAGCTTGCAGTGGCAGGCAGACAGGGATGCGGGTAGCACTGGAAAAGAGGGGCTTGGTGCGGACTGAAAGGGCTTCTCAAACGTAGAGGGGTTGCGCAACAGCATGGGCAAGAGTGGGCATCTCCAGACGGCCGCAAGCCAAGCTGCCCGCAACTACAGGTGACCCTGTTAGAGGCTGGCAAGACCATTGTCCAGGTTACTGGGATGAGGCATTTTTGTTTTGGTCTGCAGTCGCTGAGCTGTCGATCCACAGCTACGGGATCGGGATCTACTACATCCGAAGCCTGAACCCTGGAATCCATCACGATGCATTGTTGATGCCTTCATCTGCCGAGAAGACGGTGAAGGCATACTGACGAAGTGCCAGGGCCGCGATTGCCGACACGGCAGCTCCTGCACATCAGACCCTGCCAGCATGACTCAAGGCATCCACGGGTATGTACTTGCCATGCAGATGCAGGAGAAACCGAAAACCAACGCAGGAGACTGCAAGGCCTGCCAGAACCCACATACCTGCTTGTTGCTGCCGCTGCAGCACCGCCTCGCCAGCTGCCAGTGAACTTTCAGAGGCAGCCCATCTACGAGGACGTCGACCCAAGAAATCATCCATGAGTTATTGCGTAAAGCTTCAGGCAACTCAGAAATGGGATACACTCCGCCATGGTCATGTTGATAGCCATCGTTGGAAGTTGCCTCCGGTGACAACGTGGGGCGAACGCAAGCCTGAGTTGTTCTTGGGCTTGCGGAAGCGGGATGATGAGAGGACGACTTTTAGGGCTTCGAGGTTAGGCTCTACAGCTCTGGCGATTACGGCCGCTGGGGGTTGATGAGGTCTTTCGGTTATTAAAGAAGCCAGAATATAGACAAGTCAGGCAGATGTGAGGATGTTTGACTGCGACCCAGAGGCAAGCTTCTCGGAGGATGACCAACTGGCGGCGTGCAAACGTCTCCAAGACACCATCGGCTAGGTTTTCCATGGTGCTGGTGGGATGTGGATTTGCAAGGTTTTCAGTAGCAAGACAACAAAAAAGTCGTAGCCACCACGTGCACAACCAGAATTTTCCCGGGAGATGGATGTATACACTAGCAGTTGAAGCTGTTGCCCATCAGTATCACGTAGGGACGACAAACAACATGCAACGACTTGACTCCAAGTATGCTGGCTCCCTGTCTCTCTCTGTCTCTCTCACGCAGACAGACACACACTTGTCGCCCTCTCTGCTCCCAGTGCAACAAGGGCCTCTGGGCAACGAGCTCATCGTTCATGGCCAGGGCAAACATCACGCTGCCAGATACCTGCAGGCAGGCCGGGTGAAGCACGCTGCTGCAGGCCAGGAGGGTCTGAACGCGATGTGGTGAAATATGACATTCATATGGGGGTTTACGAAAAGAAGGGGACCCCAATATAGAGCCCCCAATACTAGGATTCCCTTAAAATAAGGACCCGAATAAGGTCCCCCTAATGTCGGAAACCCTAAACCCTAAACCCTGAACCCTAAACCCTGAACCCTAAACCCTAAACCCTAAACCCTAATTAAACCCATAGGGACCCAAATATGAATGTCATGATTCTGAGGGGCACCCCGGCCACAGCGGCCACCACACCAAGGCCCACCAGCAACGACCGAATGTCACGGTACGCTGGCGTGGTCCTGCAGAGGGTTTAGGGTTTAGGGTATAGGGTTTAGGGTTTAGGGTTTAGGGGTTTAGAGGTTTAGGGGTTTAGGGGTTTAGGGGTTCAGCAGCTGGCCGGAGCCCACGTGCCACTCTCTCGATGCCGTCTGCCCACGGTCCCGAGAAAGCTGATGAGCAGCAGGTGCATCGCGAAGACCGGATAAAGGTAGAGCCTAAGCGCCGCGCAACATATTCTAACATCTTTCGGAGAGATTGCCTCATGGCCGCCCGAATCAAGAAGGGAATGAGGGAAATAGGGCCCGATTGTAATCTTTAAAGGGTATACCATAGGGCCCTCATTCCCTCATTCCCTGCTAAGAACCAGGGGGGAATGGCGGTCTGAGCCCACGTCCCGTTCGAGATATGACTGTGAGGCCCCGTGTAGAAGTAGAAGTTGAAGGAGTGGTGGAGCTGCTGGAGAGCATTGCTCATACACCTGGCAAAACTGATGAACCCTAAACCCTGAACCCTAAAGCCTAAACCCTAAACCCTAAACCCTAAACCCTAAACCCTAAACCCTAAACCCTAAACCCTAAACCCTAAACCCTAAACCCTATGATGGGCAACAAGGCTCACGCGAAGTTCATCATGAAGAGCTGTGATAAGGGTCCGAACGCGCAACTTTTTTGACAAGGCCTGACGAGGCTTTCGATGGACAGCGCCAGCGACTCCAATCTGCAGCCCAGCTCGAGACAAAAAGCAAGAACATGTGCTCCGGTCTCTCCTGCTATCTGTCATGAGGCACTTCTCTGCAAACCCTTTGTCGCGTTGGTGTGTTGATGTTTCATTTTAATCGCCCCGTTCGTGCGTTCTTGAAGATCTCAACCTTCACCGATCTTCCCATATGCTGGGTTCCATGTCGACTTCGAAGCTGGCCTTGATGGCTTCTCCTTTACTGGCTACTATACTACTATACTACTATACTACTATACTACTATACTACTATACTACTATACTACTATACTACGATACTACGATACTACTATACTACTATACTACTATACTACTATATACTACTATACTACTATACTACTAGTATAGTAGTATAGTAGTATATAGTAGTATAGTAGTATACTAGTATAGTAGTATAGTATACTCCTATACTACTATACTACTATACTACGATACTACTATACTACTATACTACTATACTACTATACTACTATACTACACCGTGCAGCATGATATAAGTGATGCAAAGCTCTCGCAAATTTACCTCTGAGGCAGACGCTTCACAGGCGCACTGCGATCTCCTTTCGCCGACCTCGCAGAAGTCACCCTCCGTCCCTCCGTATGTCTACGCCAGGTCTAGACACATCTGAAGCTGCGCCTCAGAACGCCTCAGCTCCGCACACACCTCTGATGGTGAAGGCAGGGACCTGAAGTTAAGGCAGCACGACAAACAATAAGAGATTCGCTCTTGCACAGATGATGGACATGAACTTGCATGAGATGGTATGCCGCCTGCAGTTCCAGGAAGGCAGCGTGGCCTGAGCCGGGAGCGTCCCGAACCAAAAATCAGAGGTGCATCATGCTCACCGCTCGAACCGCAGCCGCCGTGAGCCCACTCTGAGCTCCCGAAGCTCCCAAAGCCAGGTTTAGGGTTTAGGGTTTAGGATTTAGGGTCTAGGTTTTAGGGTTTAGGGTTTAGGGAGGTCAAGATATAAAATAGCAGAATTGCACCCTGTATACGCTCAGCACATTCTGGACCCATGCGCTATCATCCACGCCAAAAAAAGCACATCTCCGGGGCAACGGCTCGAGTGAACTCCACCATTCCTGCCCACAGCGCTGACATGCTACTGCAGCTTGCCAAATTCGAAGAGGGAACCCCTGCCTCGGAGGCGCGTTTGGGTGTAGGGTTTAGGATGGTTTAGGGTTTAGGGCTTAGGTATTTACAACCACGGGCTTGCTTGCCCAGGCGCTATGCTCACCATGCTGCTTATCTGGGGTCCATGCAGCTTCATCCCTGAAAACACCCTGCGACAAGCAAACAGACATCCTTCTTCAAACTCTGCCGACCGGCCCTAGTTGCCCGCCTCGCATGGTGCATCACCGAATCCCAGGCGTCCCTGTGCCGCACAACAAGGCCAGCAGCATGATCCTGACATTGCTCACAGCGATGACCGCCACCGGCAAGTCTCATGTCAATTCCTTCCGCTATCACTACCCTGGCCTACAGTCATTCTCACCATGGAACTATATGTGAGTGCTATTGCATGATTCAGTGACACGAGCTGATGCAGCATGAGGTTGACTGGCAAGTGCGGGAGCAGCACTCTGGCAGAGATGGCATAGGTGTTCACAAGGTCCTCACACAGAGACTCAACTCACAACTCCAGTGCTCCAGTGCTTCATCCTCGCTTGCTTTTCGGGATTCTTCGAGCGTGATGGAGTCTTCTGCAGCATGAGTCCATGTCTCTGTGCCTGAAAGATGATGTGGCGGCAGGCATGTGTGGGCTTGTCTTTGAAGCTGGCCTGGTTGGGAACCATGCCATTGATGCCCTCGACATCAAGGAGCAGAGACGTGGCCTCGTCACGTTCTCATGTCTCTGGAGAAGAATGTCCAGGACCCAAGTCTAAGAGGAGTCCAAGGACACAAAAAGACCTGACCGCCGCGACTTGAACTTTTCAAAAGATGTGCTTGCCAAGCAAGCTGGCAAGTTTGAATTGAAGCTGAGGACGGAACCCCGTTCTTGACCTGAAGGACCACTGCCTGTCGAAAGCTGGTCTCTGGTCTCTGGAGCCTTCAAAATTCCAAGAGAGCTCCGGGCTCTGATGCTCCCAGCTACTTAGTTAGCCTTTGTTCGCCTCGGCTTCAAGCCGAGAGGCGTCTAGGACCCCCTCCAACCTCCTGAGCCGTGCGTGGTGCTGCACCAAATGACATGGAACTTGGCTTTCCTTCGTCTGCGCACGCTATCTCCCGGTCAGGCCAGCCCGGCTGTCGAGGCGGCGCGCGCGCAAGCGTTTACAAATCTACAATGTTTTACACCGATGCCCGAACTTCATGTCCCAAGCGTCGCCACCAGGTGTTGACACTTAAAGTTTTTTTAAACCTGATGAAGGGGGTGTACAGGTGCTAGTCTTCAGGGAGGTGCACGATGTTCAGATCAGTTCTCATCTTTCTTTCCTATCTGAAAATCCTAGTGTTACACAAGCCTGTTGTGAATATGCAGTTGCTTCTGGCACCTTTCCGGTTCCCGTTTCAACGCGGTCTTTGGATTCTCGTTGATCTGGTGCTTGATGGCTTTCAAGAAGTGCACAAAGAAGTGAACAAGTGAGCAAACGAAGCCACGTGAAAACAGTCAAAGGCCGTGAAAATTGGAAGGCTGGCCACTTGGCTTGTCGTAGAAAGCTAAGTCGCGATGCTTCACAAATGTCGAATAATAGAACCGATCGAAGTTCGCAATGTGTCGTTGCTCTCTGCTCATTTAAAAACATGTTCCGTGATCTTAGGCACAGCTTCGGACAGGGTGGCTTACCCTCTCGCCCCTGGTGTTCCCTTCTCCCCCTGTCTCGTGCTGATATCCTCCATGGAGGCGACATTCCACCTGGAACGAAACCAAAGAACAAGCCACCAAAACTACGGGACCTTCCTGGGACCCTCTGAAACCCACCTGCCCCCCAACCTTCCCCCCCAACTATGAGATCGAAGCCTTAGACCCTAAAACCTGAACCCTAAACCCTAAACCCTAAACCCTAAACCCTAAACCCGAAACCCTGGCCCCTGCTGGGACTGCCTGGCGCAGGGCGCCGCGCCGCAGCTCGGTGTGGCCCTCGATGTAGGCCCGCAGCCAGGCCTTAGGGGGGGGGGCTAAGCCCTAAACCCTAAACCCTAAACCCTAACCCCTAAACCCTAAACCCTACACCCTAAACCCTAAACCGTGAGAGCACAGAGAGTGTAGGCTGGAGGTTCTTTGATGATGTCAAGAGTCAAGGGCCCAGCTTTGTTTGTTTTCTTTTTTTCTTGGCAGGGCATAGAGATGTGTAGGCTGGAGGTTCTTCGGGGGATGTCCAGGGCTCATCTTTGTTTGTTTTCTTTTTTCTTGGCGTGGGGGAGGGGGGGTGGAGGGGGGGGCTTATGCGTTTGGACCGTGGCGCGAGGTTTGTGCACGACTGACGTTTAGGGTATCCAGGCATTGGCAGTTTGATTGGTTCAGAGGGTTGGCCTTTTTGGTTGCCACATTGGAAGCATGCGAGGGACAAGCCTTCAGAAATCTGAAGGGCTTTCGGTTCCCGGTGCTGACGGGCATCGTTTTGGGAAGGTCGCCGAAAGATTGCAGGGTCCCCGGCGCGTGCGCCGGCGCCGTAGGCCAGGTCGCTATCCACGAAAACCACCAGCACGTCGCGCGAGAGCCAGTGCACAGTCCTGCCACGCTTCATGCTTCGGCTTTCGGGTTGTCGGCGGTCGTTTCTAGGGCTTAGAGTTTAGGGTTTAGGGATTAGGGTTCAGGGTTTAGGGTTTAGGGCTTAGGGTGCAGGATCCCTTCCTTCACAGCAACTTGTGCGGCGTGACACAATTTGTGCACCTGCTGCCAATGAGTCCTTGCGGCAAACAGCGGCTACAGTCGCAAAGCGAGCCAAGCATGGTCATGCATGCGTCGGTGCCTCAAGTAGCGGGCCAGCGTGACACCAATGCCTATGCCCCAAGAAGACTTGGCCTGAGCACAGCTCGTCAGCAAGTGACGGATTTAAATTAAACATGAAGATGAACTGATGGCTTCGAGACTGAAGAAGTTGCATGGCCGTGGTCCATATCACCGACCCAAGCCTACACGGACCTGACTGGAGCTGCCGAGGCAACGACGGTGCTTCTTTTCATGGTCCAGTTCGAGGCGACCATCTCAGCATGGTTGGCCAGGGATCGTGAAGCCCAGTCTTCAAGTTAACATACTCATCGACCCAAAACCTACGACAAAATCCACAGCCTGTGGCTGAGCCAGGGTCACAGTCCGAGGTCAGTTTTGGCCGAAGCCCATCTCTCAGCATGCGACCAGCACAAGTGCTTCTCGCGAGTCGCCACGCCGCGACTCAGCCACCGTGTACCTGCCACTCGGGCATCATGCCAAGGTGCAGCAGTTCTGAGGTTTAAATACATTGGGAATTTGATCAGCATCCTACGAGCCATGCCCAAGCAATGCTACATGATGCCAAATGTCCGAAGCTTGATAGACGCATCTAATATCCAGATGCTAGATGCTGAGTTGATACGTGCGGTTTTATCTCAAGTTGCAAGGAGCATGGCGGGCGCGGGGGCACAAGAGCGAGCTGCTGCGGCCGTCCGGCAGAGAGAAGTTCATGTGGTAGGGCTGCAACCCCGCCTGCCCGGATGTTTCTTAGGGTTTAATGTTAACCTAGTATTACTAAAACCCCTAATATTAAAGTACGCCAGGTGTCCCGGCCGCAATAATAAAGCCCTGGAAATAAAGTAC